CGGGTCAGCTTCGCAGTTGTCGGGGCTTCTGGGGCGCTGGGGACTGCCAGGAAAGACCTGGAGCTGCGCTGAGTGTGTCTGGCTCAACAGGTCGCTTGGCTGGGTGTAGAAGTAGATCTGAACCATCCTCTGGCTTTTTCCTTCTTGTTTTTTTCTGTTTTATGCTCACTGCAACTGAAGTCTTTAGAGCAGCTCGGGGTCAGTTGCATGAAATGTTGAGCACAGTTATGCCCGTGTGTTCAGCACGGCACAGTCCTGGATCTGCGAGCTGACGCAGTGCTGGTTTTGTCATGGACACGATGTGCTTTTGCCAGTAGATAATCTTTTCAGTTAAGTAACAGTGTTATTAATGAGCTTCTAAGAATAACTAGAAGTAGGCATGTCACAAAGAAACTTAGGCTTTTGCGGTTTAGGATAATCTAGAAGTACTTGTCATAACATTATGGTAATACCCTTTCTTGAAGCCTGCTTTCCAAGCTATCAAACAGATGTTCCTAACAGAAGTTTACGTGAGCAGAATAGGAAATTTTAGTAAGAGAAACGTGACAGCTGCTCTTAAATATGCTAGATGTGCCTCCTGAGGATAAACTGAACAGAAAGCAATAGCCCTGATCTCACTGTGTAGCCTTATTTATTCTTGGGAAAAGCTCTTCGTTAGCTCTTGTCAGCCAAAACACGTGGGCTGTTCCAGCGCTGTCCCTTACTTTGATAGATCAGCATTTAAAATAAAGTTTTTCTAGGTGCTGTTGAATGTTCGCAGTCTGTTCTTTTTGTTTTGCCCAGGGGAGACTATCTACGATGCTGCAAATTCTGTTACCCGTTATGTGCGTTTGTCATTCTCGCCGCTTGTGTGGTAGCGTGCGTGGGCTTAGTCTGGATGCAGGTGGCTCTCAAGGAGGATCTGGATGCAATAAAGGAGAAGTTTCGAACTAGTAAGTATAAATGTAACTACACTACTTCGCATTTGCTTTGGGCAGTATGAAGAGCTTTAGGTGCCTACCTGCTCATTCGAAGTCTGAAAGTACTGAGTAGACAAACTGCCCCTGAATTGAGGAGTCCTCTGAGCCAAAAACACTCGGAGGCTGGGCGAATGTAAGGCAAGTGTTGTATATTCTTGCCTGCTCTGTATCTCCTGAGAAGCAGGGATGCTGGACTAGGTGGGCCTGTAGTTGCTTGTACATAGATTTCTAAAATTCCTGACTTTGGGCTTGGGAGTGCTCTCTTCCAAAAGAAGCTACTCTTTAAATAAAGTTCTGATCAGCCCCATAAAAGCAGTCTAGGGGATTCTGATGCTTCTCTCCAAAAAATTAATGGAAAACAATGTTCTTGTCTTGAGCTCTTCTAAAAACCTCTAATACTTGCTATGGCATTACTGCAATTTAAATGTTGCTTCAGTATTATGTTTTTTCTTCATATCTTCTGAATGTTTATCTTGCATTGACCTGTTCTTGTTCAAATTTTGTCATTTGCATATGGGTGGGTGGATGGAGAGACAGAGGCACGGGATCAGTCTGTCCTGCAGCAGGTTTGGAAAAAGAATCTTCTTCCTTTGAATCTTCATCCAGACTTTTTCCCAATAAGAGCAGGTTCCTTTGGCAGTATTTGTTAATGTTCTGCCATCCTTTGAACAAACTGAGTATGGCATGGGAGCTTTTTAAAAATAAGACATCTTTGCATCTCTAGTACGTTTGGGGTAGGGGGAAGTCATTGTGGTGTTTCCCTTCAGTTGTTAGTAATGGTGCTAGGAATGCATATAGTACTTAACCTTCCCAGCACTGCAAAAAAACTCTTAAATGCAGTCTTACTGTACCTAGCGAGAGTGGCAAAACAGAAGATAATTTGTCTACAAGAGCCTCAGATTCAGCGTGAACTGCTTGTGTCAAATGCACAATTAGCTCTCAGTCTGTTCTGGCTAAAAGAAACCTTTCAAGGTCTTACTTAACCGAAAGTGTTATTTGGATCTTGAGTGATCAGTGCCGATTACTCTGTACCTAAAATGGCTTTTAGGACTTGCTTCAAGAAAAGTGAAGTGGGTTTCTGAAGATGCGTGGCTTTCTAGTTGTGTGTATTTGGGCATCCGCTCCACGGGCATGAAGCACTCCTGAAGGCTTCCCCTTTTGACTGGGTGGGTCACACATGGAAATTTGTTCTGGGAGCTGCCAGCTACGTACCACATAGGTCCCACTGCTCTCGGCGGTCTGTGGTCTGAACAATGGCGGTTTGTTGTGGAGCATTTCAGCGCTGTGTTGCAGGGTGGAGGTGCAGGTTTTGGAGAACTGTCATCTCCATCTCGAAACCTTTGCTTATTTGTTTCTCAGACCTAGGGATTTAGGATTGCCTAATAGCTCTTGCAGCTAAACATCTTAGTCACTGCAGACCTGGAAGAGCTGCATTTCTGAGGCTCACTTGAATTGGTTTGAGCTGCATG